GAGGATTTCTATTGTCCTGCTGTTCTCCGTGATGATCATGTCTACTCCTCGTCTGGAGTCTACCGGCAGATAGACACAAGTCTCAATATCAAGGTAAGACATTGGAATATAGAGAGCATTTAAGAAGAAGAAGAGATACTTTATTGATCCCTCAAGGGGAAATTATTTTAGTCATGATAAGATCGGTGTATTGACCTTTGACTACATCTGTTGGTGTACAAACGTGATACAAGGCAGACGAAGAGCAGAAAGGTGGTGGTTAGGAATAAGGAGATAATGTTTTAATAAGCAGAAACAGTCTGCAATATTTATGACCTACATTCAAGAGTTCCCCATAATTCAAATATAAATCAGTCATAAAGCAAACTACTATTAGAATTGCCAGTTAAGATTTCGATCACAAAAATGTGTGAGCTATTCTGTTATATCTGTGTTTATAACAAAAAAGACCAAATCAGAAAAACCTAAATTGTAAGGAGTTTTAGATTGTTTGAAGAGTTCACAATAACAAAAACCTTTCTCTCTGTTCCTCCTGAACTCAGGGTTACTTGGAATATTTTCGTGGTTTGCCCATCAATGACACACCTGAGATCTTTGGTCTCCATGACAACGCAAACATCAGCTTTGCCCAGAAGGAGACCTTCACCCTGCTGGAAGCCATAGTTTGCCTGCAGCCACGAGCTGTGTCTGCTGGAGGAAAAACTCCAGAGGAGGTGCAGATATTGATTGATTTTATTTCCTTTGCTCTTCTGTTGTCTTTATAAATGCTAATGTTATGTGAGTACAGTGTATTCAGACCTGTTAGACAGGTACTTTTACCATTATTTACATTATTAGCTGAATACACAGACAGATACCTGTGGAGTAGCATGTCTGGGATAATGAGTATAGATTTAAATGCAATAATTCTCTCTGGAGGCCTGGACTGTTGGCTGACACTTGTTATGTTTCATTTGTGATCTCTGGTACCATAGATTGTGGAGGAGATTGTGGCGGGCATCTCTGAAAAGATCCCTCAGCCTTTCAGTGTCCAGGAAGTGATGGAAAAATACCCGGTCCTCTATGAAGAGTCCATGAACACAGTGCTTATCCAGGAAGTCATCAGGTAACCTTACATAGTAATCACACAGCAAACCCCTTATATGTCACTCTGCTCGGTAGCTGCAGCTGCAAGTCAAATATTCACTCAGTGACAAAGTAGATTTTTATCTGACCTAGAAGCAGGACAAGAAAAATGTAGATTTTCATCAGCAATGGTGGTAAAGACATTACTTTAAGACATCATCAAACTTGGTCTTTTGTTATTGTTTTGATAGAGAGACCCCCAGCAGCCGGAGAAACTAAATTTATGTTTTAATTCTGATAACTACTGTTTATGGTACAGACATATTTTCATGACAGTAACATGCCATCTGGTAAGTGGATCCAATGTACACATGTTTGAAATATTTTGATAAAAAGCTAATTTAGCAGGAGGAAACATCTTTGACAATGATCATCTCAAGTAGCCAGAATAGATAAATGTACTATTATTTCACCTCTGAGGTTAAAAAAATAATAATTAAACGTGAAAGTAGTGGTGTAATATCTTTATTTGAGACAAGTAGCTGAAATTGTAGCCTTTGAAAGTCTCAGCTCGTAACCATAATTACATGTCTTTGTAATCACACTGTAATAATAGCTTTTTCATTTGTCTGTGTGTGAGCTGCTGTAGCTTGTCAGCAACTTGTGTAGAGTGAGTTTGGGATGACAAGAAATCTCTGAAACTATTTTCTAAGTCATTGGTGCCGATTAACAATAAGAATGAATTTCTTTGGTGCTCTGTAAAGGATAAAATTGTCATGAACAATTAATTTCACTTTAATGAAATCCATTTGGCCACTAATATGTTTGTATATTTAGCAGGATTATGCAAAAACTACAGGACAGATTACTATGAAAGGCTAGAAACCCAAATAAGTAGAATGGCACTGGGTGTTTACCCTGGACAGGGCCCAACAGTCCTGTAATGAAACCACATTTGAATAAACATTTTGGGGGGATCTGCACCAAATTGCACAAACTCATACATATCAAGAGCCATGAATTATTCTCTGAGAAATCAATGAAAATGTTGTGAAGAAAATTCACGGATCAACCAACAAATTGAATGGGTTCTTCCTTGGGTCTTGCCCACTCCTCCACAACATTTCATGGAAATCTTTTCAGTTGTTTTTGCATAATCCTGCTAGTCAACAAGCAAACCAACACACAAACAAATGGACAGGAGTGAAAACAACCTTGGCAGAGGTAACAATCTGATATGAGGTCAGTTTAAATCATGAGTTTATTTTGTGTCTCTCAGATATAACAAACTGCTGGAGGTCATCTCTCAGAGTCTTGGTGACATTGTGAAGGCTCTGAAGGGTTTAGTGGTGATGTCATCAGAACTGGAGTTAATGTCCAGAAGCCTGTTCAACAACACCGTGCCTGTAATGTGGACGGCCAAGGTAAGACAAACTCACGTCCATTATTATCCTTCTGACCCTTCATATCGATCCCAGGAGCTGGTGGTCAGACACCATGTCTCAACCTAAGTTGCATACTTCACAAAACAGTCATATATCAAAGGTGCATTAATAGCAAATTCATCACAAAATGTAATTATGGTCACTTATAGGGAATAAAATATATTATGAGAATAAAGTGGTACTCTAAGGGGTTTCTATGGTTTCCCAAGAAACAATGTGATTGGTATTTAAGATTATTTTTTCAGAAAGGAACTCAACTGAGCATGGGTTCTCCCTGCTGCTTATTTCCTCTTTGAATTCCAACTTTATTCTCATATTATAACCTTTTATTTTGAATTTATTACAAATTCAACTTTATTCTTTTAATATTATTTCTTTCTTCTCAATTATGACTTTATCTTGTATTATTGTAATATCTTATTTATTTCTTCAATATGTCATTTTCCATCGTACCATTGACAGTTAGGCTCTTCGTGCTGTTTTTAAAGTGAAACCCTGACTCAAACTAATATTCTGAAATCCAGCCAAATCTGACATTTTCTAAAAGACATCACATTCATTGTTTGGTGGTCTAATACTTTTAGGCTCTGCTTTCTAAGATCACACACCTCTTTGATTGACTGTGTATCTCTGCTCCTCCAGGCCTACCCCTCTCTGAAGCCTCTGGCCTCTTGGGTGTCAGACCTGCTTCAGAGAATATCTTTCCTACAGACATGGATCAATGATGGCATTCCACCTGTCTTCTGGATTAGTGGCTTTTTCTTCCCGCAGGCTTTTCTCACCGGGACCCTCCAGAACTACGCCCGCCGCTGCGGCACCTCCATTGACACAATTGGTTTTGACTTTGAGGTTGGACAGTAGGCTATTTGTCTAGCAATATATGTTTCTGCCATTACTTGTATTTGCAATGAAAATATACTAACTTATATTAAGTACAATGCTACAACACCATGTAATCCCTCCGCCCACAGATAATAGAGAAGCCAGTGTCAGAGATAACAGAGAAACCAAATGCTGGCTGCTACATCCATGGTCTTTTCCTGGAGGGCGCCCGCTGGGACAGCGAGGCAGGTCAGCTCACTGAGTCAAGGCCCAAGGAGCTCCACACAAAAATGTCCATCATTTGGCTGAAACCCAAACCCAACCGCACACCTCCGACCTCCGGGGTCTACATCTGTCCCATCTACAAGACGCTAACACGTGCCGGTCAGTACACAAATCTGTAAAGATTCTCAGTCATTAAGGTCATGCCATCTTAATGGGTTAAACAAGTGTACATAGGCAACTGGCAACACAAGCGAGTCTAGTTGCCTATGTACACTTGTAAAACTCCAGAAGTATGTGTACACAGCATCTGAGCAAGTTTGGATTCATCTATATTACAACAAGCTTAGTTGGGGCTTCATTTAATTATAAAAAACAAATTAGTTTTCACCGAAGTCTGTGGATCTGCTGCTCTGGTTATGAACTCTGTCGGTGTTGGTGGCCGCTCGCTGGAGTGTTTGTGTGCATCTCCTTTTGGTGGTTTTATTACTCACCCAGAAATAGACTCCAGTTAGTATCCTGTTTCACGAAGCGTCTGAAAATGCAGCACTGTATTTTCCACTCACAGCACACAGCACAACCTTGTGCCGGCACGTTACAAACACTTAACTTAGCACAGGGAAGGAAATGTACAAACTGCTTTCATACCTTCTTTATGTCTGAACTGCTCTGTGTGCTTTTGTAGGGACACTCTCCACCACCGGCCATTCCACCAACTACGTGATCTCAGTGGAGCTGCCTACCAATCAAGATCAGAGACACTGGATCAAGCGGGGAGTCGCCCTCATATGTGCACTGGACTACTGAACACACACAAAGTGTGATGATTCTGTGTTGTCCCTAGTTTTACAATATTCTTATAATCTTTGTATTCCCTCTGCAAAGGAGGTTATTATTTAATCTTTCTCATTTATCTTTATAAGCAGGATTACACAAAAGATTTTTGTGAAATTTCGTGGAGGGGTGGGGCTCGACTCAAGGAAGAAGTCTTTGCCGCTGATGGGGGAATTTTTTTGACATTTTATTTTATATCACACCATAGGGCATTTTTGACATTTCTTTGATTTCTTAGAGAGAAAAACAAAAAAACAATTCTGATTAAAAAAGAATGACATTGCTCTCTACTGGGTGAAATTTGGGTTTTTCATTTATTGCTTTGATGAAAAATCACCTGTTTTGAGGGAATCTGTTTCAGTAGTTTATAAGATAAAGTTACATAACTTTTTTAGGACAAAATCAGATCTGCTCTCCCCTTGACTCTCTCCAGCTGAGACCATTCATCTCCTCTGAACACTGAACTAATGCACACACACGGTCTGCTCCTTTAAGGCAGCCTCACGGGTCTATCTGAGAGAAATGACTTAACTGAAGGAGGGTGGTGCTTGTACCAAAAGTGACAGTGAGTGTCCATGTGAATACAACCAGAAGGACTCAGACTATCATCACCACAGTGAGCAGACATCTCTCTGACGGGAGTTCAAATTTCTCTCTTTCTGATGTGCGGGATTATTTGGGTTTCTCTTTGACTGGTTAAGTTGACAGCGCAATAGGACTTTATTAATACATGTGTAGTTTCGCTGCGAAGGAATTGTGTGTATTACAGATAGTTTTCAGAGCTTGACTATAGAACCAGTGTGGGATTTACTGAGTGGAGATCTGCCAGGGGCTCCGGCGCCCTGACGCACCAACGGATTCCTCAGCTTTACGCAATTACCGGAGCGCAGCTGTCGGGAGTCATCGCCTCACGTTGGTGAATCACTCACCGCGTTCACTTCCCGACCACGGCCGGTGACGGCACGCCGGTGTGACCAACCATGCTGCAAAATGGAAACGGAAAGGAACAACCGGAGAAACCGACTCAAGCGCCAATGGCTGAGGCAGAGCCGGACTCCCCGGCTGACAACCCCGAACACCCGCAGCCGCCTGAGGTGTCCGCTGCCGGCAGGACGGACCTGGGCACCGAGTCCACTCACTTCCCCCTGCCCGGTCACCCCAAACTGGAGATAAAGCGCAACGCAGTGACGGACGATTATAAAATCTCCACTCAGGTGCTGGGTTTAGGGATCAATGGCAAAGTGCTGGAGTGCTTCAACAAGAAGACAGGAGAGAAGTGCGCTCTGAAGGTAGTGGAGTCACCTGACACTGCACAGTCTGTTAAGAACACGGTAGTAGAAGAATGACAGAGCCTCTGAACCCAAACTGAGTTATTCTCACATGTGCACTTACAGCTGTAGATGAGTTTCATCAAATGATCAGACTTTTCTAATCAGATGACTGATACAAATGGCACTCTCATAGTACAGTATGATCATGTTTTGGGAAAATCTCTATATGCATTTGTTTGAATTTAGACCCACAGTTTTCCTTTGGATTATAACAGTTTAAAGTTACATATGAGGGGTTATAAATATTAAGATCGGTGCAAAAATGCTATTGGCTTTTGTTATTTAAAGGTCCAGTGTGTAAGATTTAGGTGAAAGGGAACTATTGGCAGAAACTTAATGTAGAATAATCCTCATGATGTTCTCACTAGTTCATTTCATCTCAATTGTATGAATTCTAGTTTCTTTACCCCAGAAAAGGCCCTTGATATTTAAATACTTTATCAAGGGGACCCTCTCTACAGAGGCCGCCATGTTTTTTTACATTAGTCCAGACTGGACAAACTAAACACCTTTTGAGTTTTTATGACAATTGAAGCTTCCACAGGTTCTTTTTCATGTTTGGAAGGAGAGGGTGAGGTGAGGGGTGTTCAGCTGCAACATGCAATTTCAACACTAGATATCACAAAATTCTACACACTGTACCTTTAAGGGATCGTTCACCCAAAAATGACTTAGTGGTGAGTGGATAATGAGTGAACTATCCCTTTAACTCTTCAACAGGTGTTATCTTTATGTTTAAGAGTTGGAAACTGTTGCCATCTTTGAGTACTTTGACCTTGAGGTCAGATTAGCGTCACAGACTTACACAGTCTTGTGCACAGATCCACACTCAAACCGCCTGTTAATGTTGGTTTATTTCTGACTGGTACTCGTGCTTAGGTATCTGGCTGTATGAGTGCCTTTAACGCTCATCATGTTTTTCATGTGAGCAGGCTGAATGCCAGCTTTGCTTCTTGGAAGTTCACAAGAACGTTGTGTGTTGCGTGGCTGCCCATCCGGTGACATGCTACACTGCCTCACAAATGTGGATCGTGACACCTTATCCTAGAAATAGCTGAAAACCCACCTTCACACACACACACACACACACACACACACACACACACACACACACACACACACACATACACACACACACACACATACACATAGGCAAGTGCGCACGTGCAGGTCATCATAGCTTCCACCTGTCACGACTGGGCGAGAGACTGAGAGAGATTTACTGCTTTACAGTAATCCATCTGGAGCTGAGCTGCCAAACCCGGCAGCCGCAGCAGTGTCACAGGCAGAGCTGTGGACCCGGGAATAGGAAGACATGACACAAGAGGAGAAAGAGAGATAAAGTGCAGCAGATCAAAGGAAGTCAAAGAGAAAAGATGAAGGGCAAAAGGTACAAGGCTAGATGGCATCATGTCAGAGAGGGAAACAATCACAATGGGCCATGGTGATCCTATCTTTGAGAGAAAACCCCACAAACCCACTGCACTCAGCCTCTGAACCTCCGCTGCTCCTAACATGTTGTAGGAAAGATAAAGGAAACTTCACAATTCAGTCTCTTAAGCAGCTTTTATTGGCGTCTTTGTTGGTCTGTGTGTGAATGGGAATTCACTGGACCAGGTGACAGCTTTTTAAATATTTTTCCAAGACACAATATTGCTTTATTTTTAATCTCAAGGCAAATAGAAAGCTGAAAGAAGTAATCGAATGTGTTTGATTTGGAGTGGTGGGGGTGTGTGGGGATTTAACCGCTGGCTTTTTAATTAAGTGTTGCTCTGAGCGCTAAACGTAATAAATGGATATAGGTTTAATCCACTTTGCAGCAGAGCTGGAGGGGAGCCATCCGTTTAATGTGATTCAGTCACAGTCATTATACGTTTCTTTTAACTGGGATTTGTCTGAGTCCAGGGAGGAGAGGTGGACCCTGAGAACCTGGCGGTGCTTGATAGTTGTCTCGAGATCCACCATAACTTCTTAATACCACTAGGTGCATGAAATTGGCAGCTAATTGTTCCATCTTAGCTTATGAAGTGTCTTCAAGTTTGATGTATAAGCTAAAGCTCTCTGTGCAGGCTTCCATTCAAAGCTAAAATTTTCCGTTCACTGTGTTTGCGTATGTTCACCTTAGTGGTCAGCCCACTGGTATGTGACTGACACATCTGGGTTTCCTCACAGGGACCTGAGTGGTTTGGTCTGACCGTGCATGGAAGAGATTTTTAGTTGAAAAAAAGACTTGCTCCAGGCAGCCGGTGCTTTTAAGCAAGTTAATCAGTCTCAGAGGTTTGAGGCTTATAAATCTACACTGACTCTCAGGCCTCAGCTGTTGTTGTGCAATTCAAGCCCATTATCTGCTTGGATTGTAGCACTGAGGAAATGTGCAGCGGTCCTGAAGCAATGAGGAGGTGGTCTTGGACGAGTGTCTCAATTTTTAACCTCATTAACCTTTGTGGCTGAGGATCTTAGTTCAAAAGAGCTTTGTTGGCATGAATCACTTTTGCTCTCTGTTCAGCTTAAACAGAACTTTTATGTTTTCATTGTCCTGCTGGGACGTTCAGTAACAATTTCACTTCCTCACAAAATGGTGAGACCTATATATTTTGTTGACATTTAAATTATCCAAGATTTTTGCAACAATGTTCAAATCCAGAGAAATCCCCAATTTTATTTGAGTGACTGGGACGTTTCATTTGGTCGCCTTTTCATTGAGTCATAATAGCTTTACCTGTGGCTTTTCCATTCTCTGCGTCTGGGGCAAACGACGCTTGACGAAGGAAAAACACCCTGCTGCGGAACTTGAATGAAACACATCACCTCATCCATACACATGATTTGCGTGGTGCCACCTAGATTTCCATGGTGGAAACAACAGCTATCATGACCCCAGGCTGCATCAAAGTCCTTTGTTATAAATCTAAATAACAAAGGACTTAGCAGCTG